GTGTTGGGTTGACGGTTGGACTCGATGATCTTAGAGGTCTTTTCCAACCTCAATGATTCTATGATTCTATGATTCTATTCTATGAAAGGAATAAAAGAATAAAAAGGTCAATCTGCAAATGTGAGAAATAAGTATGTTGCTTGTGGCAGGCAACAAGCAGCCAGAGACCAACAGACATCCCATAAGGAAGGCCAAGGGTTCAGAGCTAAGAAAAGATGGGCTGAGCTGAGAAAGCTGCCTGAGATGAAGGTGGTCATGTTGTTTAACAGGGGGTTGTTGACCTGCTCGTTTTGGTTTTTGCCTTGCTTACTGGGGCTGCTGCATCCACCTCTGCTGGCACCATTGGTGGGGACAAAACTTGGTTTTGGGTGAAAAATGCCCACAAGAAATAAGTATTTCTGTCTTGGTGTATACAGACACTTGGAGTATACAGACACTAAGGGTATACAGACACATTTCTAGTTTTTGCTGGAGGAGGAAATCCTCTCTGAAGGACTACTCTGGTTTGGGAATGGACAATCTATGTCTTACCCTGGGGCAGTTCTAGACCTGAGCAAACAATTCACCATGAATAACATGTCTCCTCAGTTTAGTTCCTCCCTGTTCATGAGCTACTATTCATAGGTTTTTGGAATTTCTCAGATGTTCAAATTTTTTTTGGTAGTAATTCTTGCACCATCAATTTAGAACAGGCAGTTAATTGCACATATTCAGTATTCAGAAGTCAAATTGTTGTCTTCATTAGCTTTTATTGGATACAGATCATACAGTTTCCCCTAAGTGGATTCAAGCTTACAAAATAAAATAAAAAGTAAGTCTTAATGAGCTTTAACAAATGACCAAATTCAAAGCCAAAATTATAGGGGAAGTTGGAGGGGGGCAGAAGCAGACAGTCAAAATATTAAAGGTCAAAGCAGAAGTTAGAGTTATATATGCATTTCTCCCACAGACTGATCTTATCTATGAAGTTGTGTCTGAAACTCATCCCTGTTCCTGCTCCTACAGGATAGCAAGCTTCATATTTGTATGTATGCCTCCCTTTTTTGGTCTGACTGTGAACTCTTCCAAAATTAACATTATTCAGTACATTTAGTAAATACCAACAACAACTTTTTAAAACTTCCTTTTGACCCCATTTCAGTCCATGTGAAATGATCAGCATATTTATTACCAAGGTCTCAATCCTGGCTCATTTATCCGTTTCAGTTGAGACGAAGGAATGGCTGTCGGTGAATACGAGCCTGAATTAAGTGGTGTCCAACGCTAGCCTATTCCATTCAGTTAATGAAAAGCTGCACGTATTTTAAAGAACAATAGCTGCCTTTCACCACTTGTTTGCTTTTTAGTTCCCCTCTTTGGCAATAACAAAGTGCATTTTAGAGGGAACTGTCAGCTTTCAAACCGATTTGAGAACTGGAAACAGGCATCAGGGGGGTTTGTGTCGAGCACAGCTCTGCCTTTGTCATTGGGACTGGCACACACAACTGGTGCGAGTTATACCAGCATCTCTACATGACACCAGACCAATGCAAGGAAATTGGTTATGTTATAAGAGAAGGCCAGAAATAACCCTCATCTCCTACCAACGCAAAGAATAACTGAAAACAGAAAAGGTCAATGAATTGAGTCAAAACAATGAATGACAGCGGAGCGAATTTTACAAATCCCCATTACATCATCCAGGGAAAACAAACCCTGCTCAGCCAGAAACCACATGGGCCAGCTTGCGATGATCCCTCCTTTTCATATTTTTATTGGTTTATGATCTACTGGCATGAACGTACTTGGGTCAGTGTTTGCAAATGCAGATTGCATACCTGGAGCTTTAGCACATAATAGTACAAATCGCCTCGCCGCTACAAAAACTGATAAGCCTTTTCCCAGACAAAGGATGAAATAATGCATGATCGTTTGAACGCCACAGACAGACAGAAAGCATTAAAAAAGCCCCATTCTCCTAGTGAAGATTTTCTGGAAAAGCCATGCAGAGCAAGTTTGCACATTCCTCTGTCTAAATGGACTGTATAGCCACTTAATTTTTATTCACTTTGAAACAGAGATGTTTTCTTTGGATACATTATCATTGTAGCTCTTTTCACACAGCATGAAATCCATGGCTGGTTTACTTGGCTAGAACACTCTGTCAAATACCTGAAACACTAAATGCCTGTGTGTAGTGTATATAATGGCATGGAAATATTTATTATATTTTGCTCAGATGAAATTACTTCACTGCTTGTCAGCAATGCCTCTAGGATTATGAACATAAACTGAAGATACATGCTTCAGGTTCAAACTGAAATGTCTCTCTTTACCTGACACATTCCTTACAAGCTGCTGACTGCAGCCCTGCGATCTTTGGGTATCAAGTTATACTTACTTTGTACAGTGAGAAAATAGCTCTTTGCAGGGGCTGTTTTCGAGTTTCTCCTCTGTCTGTTGGATAAGATCTTGACTGACTTCGGGAACGCAGGCTGGAGACTGGGGAGAGAAGAGAGGGGCACATTATCTCTGTGATGAGGTGCAGATTCTCCTCTCTTAACGTGTAAAAGACACATTCATTATTTATGCCCTGAGCTGCTTCCATTCAATTCCAGTGGTTGTGTAAAAGCAAAGGAGCTTTACGTCAAACAGCAGTAAAATAGGATACCGTGGTAACTCGCTCCACATTCCTCTCTATCCTCACATTGCTTTTTTGCCTTCTCCTGTACCTTCACCTCCTTGCCCAGCCTCATGAATATGCAGGACACACTCCTTGCCAATTCTTTGAACTGCTCCCTTGCATCCCATGAAAAATGTGCTGGCCTGAACTGTGTACAGGCCATTCTCTTAAACAAAAGAGAATTTGCCCGGTGTTTTCACTTCATTGATGATTCATTGTGCTGTCTGAAAAATCCATCATCTTTTTTTTTTTTACCAGCAAAGGAAAACAAGAGCAGAGCATTGGTATTTATTGATTTATATATAAATAATATAAGAAGATGCTCGCAAAAGTGTCTGGACACCTTAATTCATCATTAGAAGGACAAAAATAATCCAGCAATTTTAAAATAATCATGTCAAAAAGGAACTCTGCCAACCAAGCACATAAACTCTTTTCATCCTCTCCTCCCTTTAGAGAGAATGTACATTCAGTCCCTTCAAAAAGCCCTTAGCAAAGAGTGGTCTTTTGCAGTATGCCCTGATGGTTAACCAGTTTACGACCTTTGGGACTAATTATCTATAAAGACAGTTTTTAGATAGTCCACATTCTTACTCATTGACAGTATACTGTAATTATATAAAAAAGTGTATATGCGTGTGTGTGTGTGCACGCGTGCGTGCCTATTTATAGACATTTCTCCCATTGACATGAAAGCCCCTTTATATAACCAATCGGATTTGGGTATTTTCAATAACTCCAGCCATAGGTGACAAAATCCTCTTTCCTTGCAGAAGCCTTAACACTCGGTAAGGTTCCTCATCCACGGCCACAACCACCAGATGTGCTGAGGTGGTGGGTCACAGAGCATCATCACTCATTCCTGAGCAGATGTTCTCATTAACTCACCCTTAGTTGGGGATATCTTGGCAAGCATTGAAATGCATTGCAGGCGGAGTTCAAAAACACTGGAAATGAGGACAGAGGAAGGGGCAGAGGTGGAGCCAGAGAAAATCTCCAGCATGGTGAAAGCTGAATTAAGTCTTTTATCTTTTCTTTCCCCCTGCTGAAATGTGAATATGATCCTGGTTGTGACATGAAAAAGTAAGTTTGTTCCACTTGAATGTTTTTAAATAGGAACATGGTTTACAGAACTGTCTGTGCATGCTGCGTAATGCAGTCTCACTGTTCAACCTTGACAGACAATCTGCAGAACATGCTGGATATCTTTGACCTCACTGAAATATGTCCTCATTTCCTCCATATATTCCTCCATTTCCTCAGCAAAAGATATCTAGGGAACACCCACTTTTAATAGCAGACAGAGTATATTGCTAATAACTAAGAAGTCTCACAGTTTCTTGAGAGGTAGATGAGCCCGCACATTATCGTCTGAAAGATGAAGAGACTGAGACGAAGCCAGGTTTTCTCAGCTTGATTGGCCACCGAGTTTGACAGGAACTGAGAACTGTAGGACAAGTCTCAGTAAATCAGACAACTTACAGAAATTCCTAACTGTAGATGTCCATGACTAAATCTAAGTCCCGGTTTTAGTTCAAGCGAGTAAGTAGAGGCAAGAGTGAAGCAGTGAAAGAACTAGGAAAAAAACCTGAAAAGTCCTCTTTTCCAGTCTTACAGCTGCTACATTGAAACTACTGGGGGAAAAAAAAAAAAGAAAAAAGGCTTTTAAAGGAATATTCAGATAGGAACCAAAGCCTAATGATTAGCAGTGTTTCAGTTGATTTGGGCTAGGAACCCTATGAATTAATGCCTGTACTTTATACTTTGCATACTCAATGGGGTGTGCTACACAAGCTCATCAGCAACCCAAAGCTTGTACGTGGCTGCGTGAGTCCACTGCTCTGAGACCTGATTATCTTGAACATCTCTCTGATTTATAGGGTACAGAAACACCATTGAACTCCATAGTCTTTGTACTGCTGTGAATCAGGAGTGTCTTTTCTGACGTGAATGGAGCTGCACTTAAGTAAAATTGATACTAGTGCCTCTAAATGAAGTTACTACTAAATAAGTCTAAGATTTGTTCAACATTTATAGGCCAAAATTGGGATCCAAAAGCTAAGTGCTAAACCCCATAATTAGGCATTTAGACCAAGTGACCTGATTCTTGCTCATGCCAGGCAACTTCATTTCCCAATGAGAGGTAAGCTGCCTTCAGGTTAGTGTTGAAGTTCATGCACATGATGTATTATTATAGTAATAATTCCATCATATTTTGTCTGAGATCAAAGTACATTTAAAAAATAAAATATAAGCATCAGCTAAGTCTTTTTCATAGAAAGGAAACAAAATTCTTATAGGGAAAGGGGAGAAGAATGAGCAAAAGAAACTGTAAGACAATGTGGGAAGTATTTAAAAATGGCACGAACTGTTATTCCTCTCTCCAGGTTTGTGGGAGATACAGTCACCACTTGGTTTTTCAAAACCACTCACTGCTGACCTTTGAACCTTTCTTCCTCTGGACAAATTGAGAGTAAGCTAACAATATCACGGTAGGTAAAGACATAAATACACTGACATTCTGTACATGGACTAAAGCCTTACAGTGTAGTGCAAACAGTTTACTAGACCACTTCCCTTTCTGTAACAAAAAACCAATTTTTTCACAGGCTGATCATTTCCAAAGGTTTTGTAGGACCCACAAAACATTCTGTGTCATTATGCAGCCCTTCATAGTGTTCAGGGCAGAGCAGCTGCACCACGTGTATGGGAGGAGCATACCCAACCCTTTCCAACTCTGCATACAGTTCTAGGGAGCCTTTGTGTGATCCTTCCTGAGATTTTCCTTGAGACTTCATAGTTCCCACTGCTCCCATTAAATACCCATGACTGCCATTTTCCCTGTTTGAGTACTGTGCATACCTACAGCCTTCGAATGTTCAAACAAAGCCAGAAACAATTACAAGCCAAAACCCAACCCACCAACGTACTTTTGCTCCCCTGGAGAACAATTAGGTAGCGCAGGTTATAAGTGCAAGAAAGCATTTGGATCTCAAGAGCAAAAGCTTCCAAAGGTAACACTTTGGCCACTTATGGAAGAAAAAGTTGCTATTTCCCTGGAGAGGTGCAAAAGATTTCTGCAGCCCCGACGAAATGGTTATTAACGCTGTTCTCCTAGTGCATTATGGGTAATGGCTGTAAAAGCAATTACAGGGGAACAGAGACACCTTTTTGAACATATTAAATGTCCTGCGGCAGCTAGGAGAGCCATACACCGTGATTAAGACCATTACATCTGAGCGTGTGACAAAGAATACTCTGCTAATTCTTCAGAAACACCTGAAGAAACCTGTTACATTTTCCTGTATTCAAAACAAAATGCTGGGTAGTTTTAACAAGTACAGTCCTATATTTTCCCTAATGGCTATTCTGTTTCCTGAAGGCAAAGAAAGTGATTCTTGAGCTCACTTAGGCTAATGTAAATCAGAAATTATGCCAGTCAAGTCAACAGAGTAACACTAGGGTACAGCTGATGGAACCGAAACCAGATTCATGGCCCAAGACTCTGGCAGTGCGAAAAGTGCGTAATTGATCCAACAACAAAAATTTCTCTCATCACGTTATCCTTTTTGACCAGACAGTTTAATAAAAGTCCAAAAGTCCAAACTACTTTCACCAGGTTTTAATCAAAATCTCCTATCTCCTGTATCTTCTCATTTATGGCCAGAAACTGAAAACCTTATAAATATTTTGCCGGCAAAGCAACATCTCAGTTTTATGATGCCCTCTTGTTTAATTTTTAAGAAAAGAATGCAACTAGGAATTGGATTAGTGATTATCTGAGAAACAAGAAATGGCTATTCAGTTACTTCTGAGTGCCATTAACACATTGAGAAAAATGTCTCCACTTCTGAATTTTGTTTTTTCTCATTTAAAAGACAAAAGAGATCCTCCGAGCTGCTCTTCCATTTCAATAAATGGCATGAAAACAGCTGAGATGTCACACACTTGTTCAAGGTTAGTTGTGTTCATGTCCACAAAAATTTGGAGATTGCTGTTCCTTCCAAATTAAGCCTCTGGGCCTGCAAGATGCTTTTCATATTTTGCTGAGGTTGAATGCAGCTTCTCCCCCCTTCCTCTCCTGTTCACTAGGATGCAACCACGGATAAACAGCATGGTGGCTAGGTTTGAAGCTGGATGCAATATCACCCATAAATACCAGGTTCTTGGTGGGAACTGAGAGCGTTGCAAGCCGAATGCAATCTGGTCTTTCCTGCACTGGCACAGTTGTCCCTGGCAGCCTGAATGCCAGGAGACCCATACCACACAGCTCTGTGTGTGCTGCATCTGGTACCGTCCATGTCCTGGCACTCAGCACCTCACTGAAGTACTGAAAAGAAGCGAAATCTGATTCAGATCAGATGAAAGCTTCCAGGCTGTGTAACTCCCCATTATCTGTTATTTTGAATGTCATGTTGCATCACTATACTTTAGAATGTAAACTCTCCTTTTCTGACAGCTCTGTAAGTTTTGCTACAGGCTGCTTCACTCAGCCCTTCAAGACAGTATTTGTTGACCTTCACTGAACAGGACAGCAAAAAAATAAGCCTTCTCATAAAATCATCTCTATACGTTTGCCGTGGTACTTAAAACGTTTCTCTGATGGTGTTTCCTCTGTGACTGGACTGATCTTTTGTTGATCTATCAGCTAATCAAATTCTTTATAAAACAAGCTGAAATGCTGGCAGTACCAAGGGAGACATTCAGAAGACCTTCTCTGATTATTTTACTTTTTCATTAAAACATGTTATTTGTTCTAATTTTCCTTAAGACAGAACTTCCAAATGTTTAAAATGTATGACTTTGGTCAAGATGTAGA